AACATGAAACGCGAAGAGCTGAACTTCTTGACGCAGTTCGAGGACGACGTGGGTCCCAGCATTGAGGTTAAGACCGGCAAAGCTGCAGTTGCCGTCAGGAAAAAGAAGCGGAGGGTCAGCAAGCGGCGTGATCAGAGCGGCAACAGCATTGTCGTCGCCTGTTTGAAGAGATTATTGCCGGTCGGCTTGAATCTCTTTGGTGGTTCAGAGTTGGACATTTTGCAGAAAGTGAAGGAAAAGTTCATAGCGGTAAGTAGTAAACGGTAATAGGGGCAGATCTGGCCTCTCCTCGCAGGGAGAACGGTATGATGGTGAAAGTTTTGGTGACACTGTTACGACAACTGTTTCTGCTTCTGAACATCCAATTGAGAGGCGAAGGGGATTTACTTCTTTAAATTTAAATTCGAAGAGACTTGCCATAGTGGAAATCACTTTGAAGAGGAAAAACCTGTTTTATCGAGAAATTAATAAGCAAATGTGAAGTAGACAAAAGAAGCTTTTATTTAACACACAGAAGATGACCACAAAATGGGGTCAGCTTTCGATTTACCTGCCAACATTCTTCAAGTAATGCGACGTCAAATGAATCACGTCATTTGACTGAAGGAAGCTAAAAGGTATAATCTAGGTGATAAGATACGGCAAACCTTATAGCCTCAAAGGCAGGAGGAAACTTACAAGATTAGTTCATCATGGCTTCAGCGTTATATGATTAAATAGTCAACAAATGTGTGCTATTTAAAGTCGTGTCTCGTTACAAACTAATCACCATATTTTGTCTTAATACCAGAACCATTCAAAATGTACTAGAGAAAGCCACGACCCCGGCACAAGCATGGAACTGATCATCCAAAAAACGGGAGGACAACTCCACCAAGTTTGACCCTCCACCAGGTAGCCCTCCAGCTTGAAATGCAAGATCGTTGCGGACCTTGGATTCAACAGTGTTTGCGCAATCCCTGAATTCGGCTTGTACTAATTAAATGATGACGTGACAAAAATTTAAATCAGCTACTGTCTTTTAACTGAATCAAAAGCTAGTGTTTAGATTTCCTGATAAATTTTTTTGAAGAACCTATGCTTTAAAATGTATAGAGGACACTTTGAAAAATGTCTTTATCGACATAGCCTTGGTCGCAGTTTAAAAAACTTAGAGATGCAGCGATGCATCCAGCAGTTCCCATGTGCATAACGTATATCTCTCAACTTATAATTGTGACTGTGACGATTTTTTTGTTTTTCAGAGGGACAACGAAGAACAGATCAGAAGTTTCATTCAGTCCAGTTTGAACGTACCGAAGGAAGTATATGTTCTCGTTTTGTTTTGACTCGTATTTACGCTTGGACTTTTGCAGCAAGACCGCAATCAAAAGAATCAGTGGCAGAAAGAACTGTATCAAAAAATTGGTAAAGCGCAGATGCTCCGAATTGAGCCGATGACCCAGGAAAAAGTCGTGGACAAGATCTCAAAAATGGGCGACGTGCTATCCGCTCTTCATGCAGTAAATCTACTCTTCTTTTTTTAGAAACGTTTTCAAATGATTCTTATCCTTGTAGGTGGAACATCCTTTAGCGCAGATGGCAAACGCATGGCGGAAAGTGTTGTCTGTACAGCGCAAAAGAGCGGTCGTTGCCTGCTTCCGCATGCTCTCGATATACAGCTTCCCCAAGTATGCTCTGTTATGCCAATTAAAGAACGTTTAATCTGTCATCTTCACGTACCGAGAATGACTGTGACCAGGAGTTTGGTTATGTGAGGGTGCATACTCGGTAGCTCTGAAATTTACTGTCATTAGAAGATGACGTTACATAGATTCATTGCATTGACGAGAGAGGCATTGACTGCATTGACTCAGGCGTCAGATGGGGGCGTTGTAAACTCCAACTAAATTAACGCAGTTGACTGATTACCGTTTCAGTTTCTGATACAGGATTTACATAAAGAAAACACACCGTTCACTTCCTTCTAGTCGCCTTAAGTGACCATTTAGGAAGGTAACGGCTCTCATAGCTCCTGCAGTGAATGAGAAGGATTCTGTGTTGAGCTAAGTGATTATAGCATATGCGCAAAACAGAGAATTTAACAGCCAGTAATGCACCATATCTCCTCCGCCCATAGTAACATCCGTTCAGTTTCCTTTGACATTTCAAAGATTTGCATAATCTATGGTTAGTTTCTTATGCAGTGGTATTTTTCCGTATCAAACATGTTTTAAGTCTCAAAGTTTTTCTTATTGTGTATTTTGTTTGACGTAACTGTTGCGCATTTATCCCTTCATTTTAAGGCATCGGTGCATTAACCTGTTCATGGAAGGTTACCAAGAGAAATGGCTGCAGTCTGAAAATACGGGAAGGGACCGGCTGATCAGCGACGTTGCCGTATGTTCTTTGCAAACTTTGCTAATTTACTTAAAGGAGCACTGGGCATTTCTTTGCAGAACTTTTCGGACGAGAATCGTTTGGCCATCGCCGCTAGATCTGAGGGGGAAGAACTGGAAAATCTGAAAATTCCAGACCCGATTGTTCAGTTGGTTCATTGCTTCCAACGCGCCGCCACTGCGGAGCGAAAGCAACTCGTGTCGATCAACAGCGACCAGCTGTACAAGGACTACGCGGTGGTCATGGCCAGCAGCATCCACATAAAGGAGGAAGATGACAACGAGGCGGCGGACGAGGAAGAAGCGGTTTCAATGGAGGTCGGTTGGGAAAATGCAAACGCGAGTGCGACTTGCGGCATCAGCACAATTTTGTTTTAGGAGCAAGAACTAGAAAAGCAGCAACTGTTTTCTGAACAAGCGAGACTTGCTGACCGCGGTGCCGCTGAAATGGT